GGGCCAGGCGCTCAGCGTGCCATGCCACAGAGGCCAAAAGGTGCCCATTGCCCGACTCCATTGGCATGTGTGTTGCCGTTGTTGTTTCTCTTGTTGTTCTTGTTGTTGTTATTGTAGTTTTGTGGCGCCAAGTAATTTCTGTGCTAGCGTTAGATTTCAGCCATGTGCAGACAGCAAACACCACGCAAATAGCAAGCACAGCAGTTATTAGTTGTATAAGCCGTACAGTGGGGCAAATGATGAAGTTTAAATTAATTAAATGAGATTTTTAATGCTAATTCCATATTAATTACCACTCGGAAAATGTTGAACACAGGTATTAAGTATAATTATTATTCAGTCTTATTCTGGGGACCCCTGAGATGATTGGGCTCATTTAATATGAAATTATAAATATGTTTCACTTATTTAATATTGTAAATACAATGTTTATTATAATAGATACAATATTATAAAGAGCTTTAAATATAAATACTACATATTTCAATATGTTATTCGAGGTATTTGTGGTATTTGACAATAAAATTTATAATTTTAACTCCTCTAACTATTTTAGGAATTAAATAATGTTAAAGCTATAAAATGAGTGAGTAAACTCATAATAAATGGATCTTTGGTGTAAAAAAATAACAATAATGAGATAAATATAAATTTTAAAATATATATATATATATAAATATAACTTTCCATTTGAAAAGCATCTCAAGAATATTGCTTATACTAATAATTGAATTTATAAATATTAAGTGAAACAATCAAATAAAATTTAACGAAGCAGTGCTTATCGATCCATAATTAATATGATTTTACTGCATTATCAAAGACGACAAAATGAATATTAGTTTATAGAAATGTTATTAATAGGATTTTAATATTAACTGAACTGCTGGCAATATATAATATCCAATTTGCGACCAACTCAGTTGATATTAAAATCCGTTTTTTAACCACATTTTGTCCTAAGCCGATACTTGACTTGCCAACCACTGTGCTGTTTGCATATATGTGAATCACTTAGCTGGCTGCACCGCTGCGAGCACCACCGTGGTGACATTTGTTCATTAAGCATATTAAATAATTAGTACTTGTTGTTGTCATATTTTATGAGATCGTTGCTTGTTGAGCACGCTGAGAGGCTTGGCCTGGTCTATTAACAGCTTTAACATAGCGAAGGACCAGTTTGCAACATTATAGCCACAAACTCAAGTGTTTGCCTTTTGGCTTCGTTGAAAACGTATGCGATTTAATTGAATAGCCATTGACCTGCCCTGTCGAAGACCTAAAATAATACTTATGATACAACGAAAAAAACCAATTAAAAAGAAGCCTTGAATAGCCTAACAACAAATTATAAATAAATAAACAAATAAATCATAAATCAATTACAAACTTTTTGCTATTAATTATATTTTGTATTGGATTTTAAAACAATATATATGTCATTTATCTTCTTTTTTTTTTTGTGGGATTATAATGAAATTCCATTAAGAGTGATTAATTTTTGGGGCCTCAAACATGAATTAAAGCTTAATTGTTCCTATTATGATTTTGTATTTTTATTATGTATAAAGTTGCGAAAGTTATATTATTTAAATTCAAGAAACAGCAGATCTATGGATTTGTTTTTATGATTTATATTTTTAATGATAGAAATATAGTTTTTTTTTGTTAGGTACTCCTAATTAAATTCAACACAACTATTAACAAAAATAAACTTTAATCCCTCAAATTTTGACTTTAATTTTACAAAGTTTCAAAAGTTTAGATCTACTTTATTATTAAGTAAACTTTCACATTCAAAATAAAGCTTAATTATGATAAATATACTCATATTTAGATTTAAACGAAACAACTTTCAATAATATCCATCAGCAGCCCGGCTTCTCAGCTAGCCCAATTGATTAATTGAAAATTTAAATTTATCTTGATCCCCACAAATTTACACAATTTTTGATGGTAAAAACAAATTGAGTGTCAAAGATCTGTGTTCGTACGAAGATATTTGGAGATTTCTTTGATTTACATGCTGTCAATTTTAACAAATATTGCGGCGAAAAGTGAGTAAAAGTCAAAGATGTCTAAGCGATAGCAACTTTAAAGGCTAATATTGGAATTCTGAATAATAAATATGGGTTGCTGTAAGTGACAAATTTCAAATGTAAATTTATGCAAATTGCATGCTGTGTTGCCCAATGAGCCATTTGACACTTTTGTCCACACGCGGCTGATTTGATTATTAATTATTTATTGTCTAAGTATTGTGAATTATGGCAAGCAAATACCAAAAAAGCTCTCGAATCAAGCTAACTGAGGAGGCTGTGTAGACTGTGTAGACTGTGGAGACTGTGGAGGCCTCTGGGCCATTTTCCTTTGGTTTGCTTTTGGTTTTGGTGTTTCTTTTTTTTCGGATACATTTGCTGCGAACCAGTTGAGCGACATTCCATTTGAGGCGCGACAGGCGGCGTCCATTTCGGAGATGCTAAGATTAATCAGCTGCCATAAGCCAAATGACAAGACATATTTTTTGTAGTTGTTTTCTTTTTTGTCGTATTTTTGATTTTTTTTTTTTTTTTTGACTTGTTGCCTTTCGAATGCGGAGTGGTGTTATTATTGTTATTATGTTTATTTATGGCAAAGCTAGGAAAAAAATTAATTTCAAATTTGATTACAATAAAAATAGAGCCACACACACGCACAACGCAATACCGAAACCGAAATCGAGCCACTTGTAAGCAGCATTTGATTTACGCGCCACAAGAAAAACATACACACACACAGCATCTAGGTAGGCAAACGGAATGAAAGACGCATCACAAATTCCCGCATCTGAGTCGGAGTCTGAGTCGGAGTCTGAGTCTGGTAGGTGTGTGTACCGTGACGGCCCAACCCAAAATGCCAACAATGCTAAAGAAGATTTAACAACGCCAACAATTCAAATTTCAAATAAATTTATTGTTTTCTATTTAGATAGTTGGTGATGGTGGTGGTATGCTAGATAGCAAATTATGCAAAGCTGCCTCAAAACAAATATTAAAGGCGGGCTAAACTAAAGAGGCACATGCCTTTATTCTCATGGCAATATGTGTTTCCTTGTTCTATTTGCCGAATTGGGTTACTTTCAACATCATTTTTTGCTTAAGGTCTTAGGTTACACTAACAACAACAGCAACAACAGCTACAACAACAGCAGCAGCAGCAGCAGCAATACAAACAATGCCAGCAGCAAGCGTCGATTTTTTTGGGCCAGGCCAAGCTGCAGATGGCCAGAGACTAACATTAGAACAGCCCACGCCTGGCTTATGATTAGAGTTTCCAATGTTTCAAGCGACACTCCAAACTGGTTTCCTGCCAAAAATGAATAAAAAATCAAAATAAATATATATATAGATATATATATTTGTATATACATAAATGTAAACCGTGTCCAATGAATGGAGATGGAGATGGAGCCGAAGCTGAGGCTGGGGCTCAATAATCGTTGATGCCAATAGAAATATGACAGCATACGTGTGTCTACAAAAATAAAAAATAAATAAAAAATATACAAACATAGAAAAAATAAATAAAGCAACTTAATAATTGGTAGAAGCGTGGGCGTTCTGCTTATTAATTGTTAAATCGTGAAAAATGCCAGACAAAGTTTTTTTGGTTGTCAGCTATTAAAATAACTGGCGCCGTATTTTAATAGCTAATCATGTTCGGCAAATCATTTGCTCTCCGGCGTGGGCTTTAAGAAAATCTCTTTAAATTGGCTAGAATTTAACTATGTATTCACTAAAAGGTCAAATACACTGCATTCAAGGCGTGGCGCGCCCAACACAAACATATTTGTACGCATACAAAAATATCTCTTTAATAATAATTGGCAAATTGAAGTCGTTGGCAACCCACAACAGCTCACACCATCCACTCATTCCCATGGCCAAAAGCGTGGCTGGGCCCATACCAGAGACAATTTATTTACATACATATATTTATTATTATTTATTTTACTTTTGCCTTGCGACTGTGCATGACCCAAATTCCATTCGGCGATTGCCCCCTGAGAATATCCAGGTACATCTTATATTAAGTTAACAGTATTACAATTGAAAATATCAATTTATAATGAGTTAGGCTCTACTCAACATTTAATAGTTGCTTAAATGCAACTTTCTTTTTTATTAATTATTATAATTATATTATGCACTTTCTAATTTACTCATTTTACTGAGGAAACAAGGGCTCTAGTCAAGACTGGAAGATATCCCGAACCGGAATTGTTTGCCTTTTTTTTTTGCTTTGAATGTTCTGACTAATTTTGAGCAAGAAACAAGTAAGATTGCTCTAGTCAAAAGCGCACTTTATAAAGAATCCAGCCGAACTATGATTTTCTCAGAAATCGTAATCTGAGCCACCATGTGTCTATGCTAAGTTGAGTGGTAAGGGGAACAAAATCAGTGCTTCCTAACCAATCTTAATGAAATATGTCAGGCTATTTGTTTACAATTGTGTCTTTCATTGTTATTGGAAATTGATTTGCCATTCGATATTCACCAAACATGGGCAGATTTCTTGATCTTAAACTTGATTGAGAACGAGTATTATAAATTTGAAGTCTCTAGCTCTTATGGTCTCTGACAAAAGCTTGTTCATACAGAATGAGAGACGGACAAGCTTCCTTCTGCATTTTACATATTTTTGCACAACTCTTCGCTCAACGGAATGAGGCAAGAATTATGTAAAAAATCATTTTTGTAGTATTTTCAACTCAAAATGCAAATAAACAAATTTATTTAATATTAATATTAATATTATAACATAAATGCCTTAAGATACCCAATTTCTTATATGTTTTATATTCATTTGAATTTATCTTGTCTGTCTTCCAACATTTCTCATTATTAATTTTATCATGAATAAGAATTAATAATAAAATAGAAATTTGCTATTTCAAGTAAATAATTATCACAAAATAGTTCAATTTAATAATTACTAAGTATTTATGTTTGTCTTTGCAGACTTCTGGCTTAAAAGCGGCGGCCGCTGTATAAAACACAAAAAGAGAACAAAACAAACAAAAATATGTCGCACAAGACGAGCACGCGACGTGCACCGGACTTGGAGTGTCCACTGGCATCGCTGGGACGGACGAGCAATGCGGTGCGGGATCAACTGGCGGCGGCGCACTATCATCACCCGCATCCATTGAGCTCCAGTCCGCTAGATCCGCAGGCGTACAAAATGTCACGAAAGTCGCCGAATCTTGGCCACAATGTGAACGACACCGTTGCCAGCAGCGTGGAGCTGTATCCCCTGGGATCGCGCAGCTCCACGCCGCAACACGGCGAGCAGCAGACGCCAGCGACAGCGGCGGCGGCGGCAGCGGCAGTGACGACAGCAGCAGCTATGCTGCACATGGTGCAACAGAAGGCAGCCACATTCGAGCTGCGTGGCAGGCACACACGTCACGATCCGTCCACGTTTGGTGCTCATTCCACCGCCTCGGTGGGTCGGCATGCGCAGGCCAAAAAATCGCCCGAGCTGCAAACGCTGCCGGCGCCGGTGACCCGGACGACAGCGCCAGTACCACAGCCCCGCAATTTTCTAACGTTAGACTGGTTGCATGGCAACAGTGCCGACACCGAAGATTCCAGCGACAACAATGCGGGTGGCGCCAATGGTAGGCGACGCGGCCAAGCGCAGGGCGGACGCTGCAGTGTACCCACCGTGCTGGTGCCGTGCAGCAATGGCAGCAGTGCCCAGTATCTGCTCGACAAGAAGATGGAGTCCCTCTACCTGGGCAATGCCCTGCGTGCTCTCCCACTGGGCGCCGAGGCGAGCCAGTACCAAAACGAACGCTACTATCTGGAGGACTACAGCAGTGGCAGTGGCAATGAGCGATTACCAGGTGAGAGTCTATATTATCCAAAATCAATCCTCAATTGAATCCATTCAATATTCATCAAATTACCTCTTCCTCAAAAAATGTTCGCTCAGAATTGGGCGTGGCCCTATTTTATTGTTTTTTTTTACCAGTCTTCTTCCAAATTTGGTAATTCTAGCTCTGCCTTGAGCTATTTTAAGGCGTGTCACGATTTTGAAGTCATCTTTGCAAGAAATTCTTCAATGCTTAGTTAAATTTTTAAGTGAATACATAAAATTTGGAAGACCTATTAATATTTATATTTCAAGTTTTCACAAGGCAGGTGTATTGTGTTGGTCTTCTCTGAAATAATATTCCCATACCTAATATGCCTATATTAAGATCTTATTTATTCTTATCGTGTTTTTTAGTTTCCTTTCTTTTCCAAACACTAAATTTTGTTAATTTATTGCCCATGAATTATGTTTTCTGAACACACTTAAAAATACAAGTAAAGTTACAAGTGACTTCAGCTCTGCCAGCTCTCTGAGGTTGTGCAAATGTATCTAGAATGCAGAGGAAACCAACTACGACCCCAAAAGGCATATATATTCTTGATCAGCAGGCGATCTACAGATATCAGAGCCAGAGACTTTAAAGTTTGGAATTTAATTTCTCGTTTACTACACGCATATCAAGACTATTTTATTTGATCGATTATTATTGATCATCTGCAAAATTGAGATTGGATAAGAAACAAAGATTTTGTCAACCCAAACGAATTTTTCTATTGTCAGACTGAAGGGTATCTCCTAGTCGAGCTACAGTCGTAATTTGAATGAAAATTTAAAATAGCCCACAGAGAGATCTAACTTTTAAGATTTCTCTTGGTTGATAGAGCGACTGCATCATCCGCACAACTCCAGTCCCAGCGAGACGAGTGGCTCGGATCGCTATCTGCTGAATCGCAGCACCAACTCGCCCGCCAACGCCTTCCAGCTGGACCATCATCACACCAAAGTGCAAAGCCTTTCCGACGGCCTGTGCAATCTGGGCCGCTTCTCGCCCAGTTTGGACCAGGGATATGCGACACTGGTGTCTCCATCGCCCACTGGCCATCATCCGAACAGCAGCAGCACTGTGGTCATCAGCAACAGCAGCAGCAGCAGCTGCAACAACAACAAGAACACCAGCTCCAGTGTGGTGACCTCTGCTGGTGGTGGTGGTGTTGGTGGTGTCATTGCCAGCAGCACGCCGGCAACAACGCCGCGTCGGAGCAGCAATGTGACGGGCACGGCGATTGGTCCGCCTCCCTGGAATCGCAAGGGTCCGTATCGGTGTGGTCCCTACTTTGATCGGCTGCCCGATGAGGCTGTGGTGCGCATCTTCAGCTGGCTGGACAGCTGTGAGCTGTGCAACGTGGCCAGGGTGTGTCGACGCTTCGAGCAGCTGGCCTGGCGACCCGTCCTCTGGAAGTGCATCACGTTGCGGGGCGAGCACCTCAACGGGGACAAAACGTTGAAGATGATCTTTCGGCAGTTGTGCGGCCAGAGTTGCAATGGTGCCTGCCCCGAGGTGGAACGCGTGATGCTCGCCGATGGCTGTCGCATCTCGGACAAGGGTCTGCAGTTGCTCACCCGTCGGTGTCCGGAGCTGACGCATCTGCAGCTGCAGACGTGTGTGGGTGTCTCCAATCAGGCGCTCATCGAGGCCCTAACCAAGTGCAGCAATCTACAGCATCTGGATGTGACGGGTAAGTCACAATTATTATCTGATTTTCGTATATATATTATATATAAATATATGTATATATATATGTCATTTATAGGCTGCAGCGAGGTGAGCAGCATTAGTCCAAATCCACACATGGAGCCACCGCGTCGCTTGCTGCTCCAGTATCTGGACCTCACCGATTGCATGGCCATCGATGACATGGGCTTGAAGATTGTCGTCAAGAACTGTCCACAGCTGGTGTATTTGTATCTGCGACGCTGCATACAAATTACAGGTGAGAATCCGACAAATACAATCTTAAACTAAACATTAAAGACAATCTGTGCTGATTGATTGATTGATTGATTGATTGACTAACTTATTGATGTGTGATGACAATCTTGGAGTTAGCAAATTGAATTTTGCATTGCATATATTGTTGTAGAATAAAATATGTACAATTTATTTTTTATTTATTTATTTAATGCCGACTAAAATCAGTCAGAAACTAAACGGAAACTAAAAGCTGTTAAATTGAAATCAATTCATAATAGCGACAACTTCATTAAATAGAAGTTCACTATAGAGAAGTTATACTATAGTTAAAAGCGGAGTAGAATCCGCTCGTTAAAAATGTTGAATACTTTGTTATTAAAGCCAACATCAAATCTGTTGCAGATGCGGGTCTGAAGTTCGTGCCCAGTTTTTGTGTGTCGCTGAAGGAGCTGAGCGTCTCGGATTGCGTCAACATCACTGACTTTGGCCTCTATGAGCTGGCCAAATTGGGCGCCGCCCTGCGCTACCTGTCCGTGGCGAAATGCGAACGGGTCTCCGATGCGGGACTGAAGGTGATAGCACGTCGCTGCTACAAGTTGCGCTATTTGAATGCCCGCGGCTGTGAGGCGGTCAGCGATGACTCAATCACAGTGCTCGCCCGCTCCTGTCCCCGTCTGCGTGCCCTGGACATCGGCAAGTGTGATGTGAGCGATGCTGGGCTGCGTGCCCTGGCCGAGAGTTGCCCCAATCTGAAGAAGCTGAGTCTGCGCAATTGTGATATGATTACGGATCGCGGCGTTCAATGCATTGCCTACTATTGTCGCGGCCTGCAGCAGCTAAACATTCAGGATTGCCAGATATCCATCGAGGGCTATCGGGCAGTCAAGAAATACTGCAAGCGATGCATCATCGAGCACACAAATCCGGGCTTCTGTTGACACGACGCAAACGGAGTTCGACAGAGTTCAAGCAAAGAGGCAGGCCATATGAGCAAAGTTGTTCTAAACAAAAAAGGAAAAAAACAAAACAAAAACAAATAAACACAAAATGCCCTTAGTTTAAGCTGTTACAGTAGTCGCTCCCTAATTGAAACCCTTTTGGTTTTCTTATTTATAATAATTGGCATATAATTTTCATCTCTCCAAATTAATTATATTTTTATATACGCAATTTCAAATTAACAAATTGTTTGTGAATGAAGAAAAGTCTTTTCAAGAGAGTTTTCACTGTACTAAATTCGAAACTAAATAGGGAAATTTATAAAGTTATTATCTGAGAATTGTAATTGTTGAGCGACGAGTGTATTGTAAATATTTACCTAGGCAGCTTGTAAATAGTTTAGCTGGAGAGGATTCGAGTTTAGTTAGAATTTGCATTTAAGTAGCGCGCCTTCTAGACTAATTCTTGCATAATAAATTATTTCATATAACCCCCCCATAGCTCTAATCTCTTATTCCGGGTAAATGAACATCACTTTCGGTAAATGAGAATGCCATTTTGTTTTTTTAGTCTTCGCAAATTGAATAATCACTGATCACTGATCAATCAATCTCGCATTATTCATTATTCGTTTCGGTCATTTTTTTTTTTAAATCTCAACTGATGTACCTATTTTAAATTTGGTATTCAATTTTCTTATCGATTATTTTTCTATCGGCCAAAATATACTGCAAATATTTTAAGTAGACAAACGGTCACACTGTCCACAATTTAGTGCAGCCAATCACTTTGCAGACTGCTGTCATCGCTTGCCATTTGTGCCGCATGTATTTCCCTAATTCCGGAAAAATAAATCGTATTCAATTTAAACTTGTTGACAAAACGGTCACTAACACAAAGTGACTTTCGTCAATCGACTTACCGCCACATACAATAGTTTTGTTTTTCCAAAAACGCAACGGTCACATTAACGCAAAGTGCTGCCCGACGCTATGCAGACAGCTGATGCCGCTTGCTATGTGTGACGAATGTTTTATTTTGTAGGTTAGAAACGTTGTATAATGAGATCGTAAATTTGTTTAAACTTGACTTTGAACAAAATTGACAACAAACCAGTTGTTGTCTGACCGCAGCAGTTATGGCTAAGTACATCGCACAGATTATTGTGCTGGGCGGCCAGGCAATCGGCCGCGCCTTCGCCAAGGCCCTGAGACAAGAGATTAACGCTTCGCAGGAGGCCGCCAAGCGAGCAGGCGGCGGCAGGCAAGGCGATCAAAGCGCCGAATCCAACATGCGAACGGGTGTGTTTAGTCTTTAATTAACTGCCAACATACAGCATTATACATATTCCTTTTGCAGGGATGACTCTGGAAGAGGCGAAGCAAATCCTGAATATTGAGGATCTGAAGAACAAGGAGACGATTATCAAGAACTACGAGCATCTATTCAATGTGAATGAACGTGCCAAGGGCGGTTCATTTTATCTGCAGTCGAAGGTGTTCCGTGCTAAGGAGCGGCTCGATCACGAATTGGAGGCGCAACAAAAACACAAAGATGAGCCACCAGCGGAGGAGGCGCCCCAAAGTCGGGCGAGGCAGCGGCGCTGAGGAGACTACCGTTGAACGAAAATAGCTTTAGATTTTAATCGATTTAAATAGATGTTAAGTGGAAATGCTGCGCTTTTTTGTCGTTTACTTATAAATAGATAAATCAACATTCAACGCAATTTCGACACTTATTATCAGCTGTTTGGTGTAGAACAGCCCTGTTTTAACTGCAGCACAAAGTTGGCTGCGCCAAAACAGCTGGTGCTGGGCTGCCACTGGAAGGCACACAAATACTGGAAAAAGTCGACAAGACGGAAACAATAATCGCTACGCAGCAGATATTGTTGTTTGTTATTTCGCGTTTTGTGTACAATCAACAGACGTGTCAATTGTTTGATTAGGTTGCGACAGAGCCCAACGACGCAAAACAGCTGGCACATGCGCGAAAATACACAGAAATTCCAGTAAAGAGCAAAACGCTGAAATCAACCACCTATTAAAGCAACGTCGACACCAACGAAGATTTTCCACTCGGAGCATCACCGTTCTGGAGCACTGTCCACTTCTGCGTATGTGTGTGTGTGCGAGAAAGAGAACTCAGCCCACAACGGTATTTGAGCAAAGAAAATTCCGTTGTTCCGTCAGTTTTCAGAGGACCTTCGACACAGGCAGCCGAAAATTCAAGTTTTGCTAGTTTTACCAGACAAGACAAGAAAAAATAAAGAAAAAAAGAAATATAAACTCCATTTAAAGTGGTAATTTTGAAAGTTACGCTCTATAACAATTTAGATAGTATAACTCGTGAAATAAATATCAATTGGACGCGACATTTTTAACAATGCGAATAATTTTGCGATAGTTTAAATTTATTTATTTGCCCATTTATTGATTTTCAATTGGACTTGCCATTAATATATATTGTTTTTTTTTCGCCCCCTCCGTCTAATCATTTTACAGCGTGCTAACATAATTAACTGTAAAAACGCAAAGAATTTACATAACTAACACCGTTGAAAGTGAAACTACATTGGTGCAAAAGAAAAAAACGTAACGAAAAGAAAAGAAAAACCTATTACAAAATTCCTGCCAAGTGTAATAAAAGTTAAGCAGAGGAAGGAGACAGCAGTAGCAGCGACGTTTGCAGAACACGACCAGAGACCAGAGAGAGAGAGAGAGAGTCAACGAAAGAGCGAACGAGAGCGAGAGTGAGAGCACAAAGAGTGGGAGCAAGAGAGCGCAACTACAAAAGTAACAACACCCCACAAAACAAACGCGCACACCGCCCCCCACCCGCACCCAGCCTCCCCTTTTGCGCACATCTGCACACGTTTCGGCTTTCGTCTCTGCGTCGTGTGTTTTGTGTTCGTGTTCGTCGCATTCGTTTTGTGTATACACGACGACGACGACAACGAGAACGACGCCAGGCTAATCCTTTCAAGCGTTGCGCACCAGAAGAACAAGAGCAAGAGAAACAACAAGAGCAACAGAAACAACAACAATAAAATAAGGCAAACATGTTTTCGGGTCTAACAAATCAATTCACGTCGCTTGTGGGCGCCGTCAAGGGCGGCGCTGGCGACGAGGATGTGCCAGCGCCCACAGGCGATGCTGCTGCTGCTGCCGCCGCAGCGACATCAACAGCCGATGCGGTGGCCACAACAGCGGAACAGGATGCTGCTGCTGCAGCTGCTGCCGCTGCCGCTGCCGGCGGCGAGCAAGCGCTCGAGGGCGAAGAGGCTGCCAAAAGGTGAGTCAACTTTCAACAATTTGATTTCTTTTTTTCTTTCAATTCCTAAATCTGACTGATAAGCGTTATCAGCCGAAGGCCAACTCCCATTATCACTACTGTATTTGTTTTGTATATGCTTTGTTCCAACCAATTTGTCAATTCAATTCAACTCGCGACTTAAACTCATTTTGATAGCGTGCCAATTTGACCTTGCAATTTGTACCTTTTAGCCATATTTTTCAGGCAACCAACCCATCCCTCTGCTGCTTCTGGTCTGGTTTAGACAGCTCGTTCTGCTCGTGCATATTTCATTGCAAGTCGCTTTTCGTGACCGAACATAATTGCCTTAACTGCAAGCAAAAATAGCTGATAAATTTGTAATCCAATTCTCGTAGTGCAAAAATGTTGATTTATTGCCTGCCTTCGTCCCCCATAAATAGTGTTACCACTTTAATTTTTTGTGCATTTATAGAAATATTTTATTTATGTGTTGTGGCACCATTAATGTTATTTGAAGGCATATCGGCTAAATCAAATTTATTGTCGGAGCTTTCTCCTCCAGCCATCTTTAAAGTGTTTACCTTTCTTGAAAATTGTTACTTACGTTATTATTATCCGTATCTTTTGGTTTATTCCGAATATTTATTTTTTTAATATTGAAAGAGGAATTTATTGTCAGTTGTGAAAACTTACGAAAATTACATTATTTTGCTGCTGGTACTGAATGATGGGTTTGAATTTATGTATTATATTTATAGAAAAGCAAAAAGCTTCGATTTTAAATAAAGATTTTAAGGTGATTATATTAGCTCTTTTTTTGCGAGAAACTTAATTTAAAATTTAATTTAAAGATTTCCGATTATTGAATTTGGCTTATTATGTGTTTTGTGAAATGTTTTCAATGCTTGTTTAAACTTTAAAATTGATAGAAATAGTAAATAACTTGAATTCATCAATGATTCTTCAGTACTTCAAAATTTAAGTTTTTCACTTAACAATTCCTACAAAGAACAAATCAAAGTAGCGATTATGTCTTCTATTAAGATAGTTAGTGTTTGCATTTGTTTAATTTAGCAAGCAAACAAATCTTGAACAGCAGCTCTAAATGCGAATATATATATTTTCTTATCGGACACAATGAAAGACAAGTTAAGCCAAAGAATCGGTCTGTGTTAATGCCACAAGTTGCTACCTAATCCTTTAGACAATCAAAAGAAGCCTAGTCGTATCAACTTTTGTTCAACTAGCCAATAAAACAGCTTACCCCTCGACGCCGACCCCCCTCACAAAGTCAAATGCCATTTTTCACTTAATTTGACACATTAATATTTAATTGTGTGTGGGAGATCAAGTTGGAGCATGCAGCATGGAGGAGCATGGCACGGGGAAGATAGCTGCTGGGCTGGCAATTCTGAGCACGTAATTTGAGCAGTCCTCGCCAGCTGCCAACAGCTGCTGCCAGACTTTGAAGTGCGTCTCTTTCGCCTTTATACCTTTTTTTTGTGTTTTGTGTAGTCGATGAGTGTGTAGAATTTTGCACCCACTGTTGGCTTTCACTATCAACTGACATTGACAAGATAAAATGGAGAATGAGAGATGTCGTCGTGGCGAGCATCGTTTCCTTTTCCGCCTTATCCTTCTTATTTTTTTCTCTGTTTTGCGCTCTTCACAAACTGCACGTGCATAACCACAAAATGTTGAGTCATGCTTCCATCCACTCGCGCGCCGCTTCCATTCAACTTTTTGGCCACTTTGCACTTTGCACAAAGATGACAAAAAAAAAAAGAAGAATAATAGCAAAAAGAAAGAAAAGCTGTCACCCAATGTCAGAGACATTGGCTCAGCAGCAGGGCAAGATTCTGGTGGTTGCTTTCCAGTTTCCAGTTGACTTTTGCTTGTTGTACAGATCGATAGAATAGAGAGACAACGTGAGAGACAACGAACGATAAAGAGAGCGAGAGAGAAAGAGAGAGCGCAATGGGAGTGGAAAGACCAAGAGCTTGATTTGTTCTCTCATTTTTTGGCTCTGTTGCGTCTGCAAAACAACAAAATGTGCACATGTGATTTGCCCACACCAACTGTAAAATAAAACCGAGGACGCCAACGACGCCTTCTGCTGTTCGAGTTGTTGTTGCTTTTGTGGTTGTGGTTGTTGTTGTTGTCCTTTTGCCAGCCTATTTAATAATTGTGCATTCAGTAAACGTGGCCAGGCATTACAAAATCAGACGCCCCCTAAACAGCAATCAACGTTAAATCTCTATAATTTTCGTTGAATTAATTTATTTAATTTTGGCTGCTATGCATAAATGTTGCTCATTAAGCTGACAATTGTAAGCATCCCCTCCATGAACATAATATGCCTTATTGTGGCATTGTTGTCAAATTAGACATACTCACATACATACATATTACATTTCACATTATAATTAAGAATATTGCTATTTTATTTTGATTTCGCTTTCGAACTTTTCCAGAAAGTGTTAAGAAAGTCAATTAAGCCAAATAATTTAGATGTCGGGCATTATTAAATATATATTTCTGTGATGATTTTCTTAAAGAAAAACATTTAATGAATGCAAATCTGGTTGTTGAAATTTCCGAGATTAATAAATTTATTTCCATGATGCTTTCGTCTATTAAAAAAACATTTAATAAAATGTCGAGATAGAACAGCTATATTTAGGTATTTTGTATTCAGTAAGATATTATGTTTGTACTTTAAACATGAAGAGCAGAAAAACAATGAGAACTTAAATTGAGATTGCAACTTAAAATGAAGTTCACAAGTCGTATACGTTATATAAATTATAAGCTTATAAGGTATACTATTTATAATTTTCCAAATGCAACTTGTTTGTGCGAAATGTAGATGAATTTGTTAATGAAGGCATTGTTGGCCCCGATTCGCGTCCTGCAAAGCCTTCACCTGTGCACATGTGCGTTGCCAGGGCCAACATTGTTGGCTTTGCCATTTGCGCGCTTTCAAGGACATTTTCACTATTTGCAGTTGCTCTCTGTGTGACTGCGTATCTCTCTGTCTGTCTCTACATATATTTATATTTATATGTATATGTGCGTGTATGTGTGTGTGCCCTTGCATTTGTTGTTATTTCCACTGCGTATTTGTAAATTATGCCAAACAACCTAAAAACAAAACTAGCGCTCAAATTGCTCCGCAAATAAGCAGGACACAGAGCTAGCCTTATAAGTGCTCTATATGCATTTTAAATTCCCTTTGTCACAGCATTTTTTAAACTTTACACCAGCAGCTAATATATAAATATATATATATATATATATACATATACATATACGTGAAGTCATGAAAACTTTTGATTGCCTCACAAAAAAGAATGCGAGCTCTTTTCTTTTTTTTGTTTTGGGGTTGTCATGAAAGTAAGACTCGCAAATATTTGCATTTGATTCGATATGAAATTGATTCGGATTGCTTACCAATATCCAATTGCCAATTGAAATTGAAAAGTTTATTGATAAATATTTCTGAATGGAAATTTTTATTAACTCTTTGTCTGAAAACGAATGTCAAACAATCATTTATGTATACATTTTTGCTTTGTACTTTAAAGCAAATTCAGTTTAATATGTTTTTATAATTGGCCCTTTGCAGGCAATCTGGTCAACTCAGTTGGGAGATTTATTAAATTAAATTTAATTTACAATTAACTTTATTATCAAGTTGATTTTCATATACTTTAAAACGGATAAAAGAGTGTACAAAAGGTGCGCCAAATTATGTAGCAGGCAGAAGACAATACAGTATATATATTCTTGATCAGCATTAAAAATCGAGTCGATTTAGCATTTGTCGATAGTAAAGATAAAGCATTCCAATCGATAAATAACATGCCAATACATAACTTTAGTTAACTGTAGAAATTTCAGACTTGGATCGAATAGAAAACACAGATTTTGTTTATCAAAAAAAAGCAAAGACTTAAAGGTTATTTCCTAGTCGAGCTGTCTCAACGCAATCTTGCGCAATCTTACTTCTAACGAAATAGAATTGGACTGCCTAGGAATGAGCTGCTCAGCATATAAAATGAAATGGCACCCGCACATTTCACTGGTGTCTGGTAATAAGCTATACGTTTTTATATATCTACATATTTTAATCCGTCAACGACTTCAAGGCTGCACGAGCATTTTTGCACCGGCCACATTTCTGCGGCAGTCGGAGTGGAGCGTGGGAGTGCGGCTGCTTTTATTTGTGGCTTGGCTACCTGGGGTTGCGCTGTGTCCGCAGACAGCGGAGGTGTCTGTCCGCAGGACGAGTACAATCAAATCAAAGCGATGGCCTCAAAATAAATATATAAATAAATAAATAGAGCGGCGGCAAGGCTGAGAATTTATCGTTGGCCCCGAAAGACGGTTGCCAATGAAATAAAAATAAAAAAAAATACAAAAAAATGTTTTGGGCCGAATTGAAATGGTGGGAAATCAAAAACAGACCGACCACCGACAACTTGAAGCTATTTAAATTTAAGGACGGCATTAAAATTTTATGCCACGCCAAACGACAGAACGCCAGAAAACTGGACACAGGACAGAACTTGCCACCATCGTAACCGCTATCGGCGTGGGTGCTAACGACGGCTTCGCCATTTGGCATTTCAGGCAAATTAACGTGGTGACGACAAACGACAATGGAGCCAGAGACGGAGCCGTTGCCGGAGCCGTAGCCGCAGCCAAACCCGGAGACCCGCTCCTGCAGCAGGCAATATTTCTGTGTATGTGTCAAATGTGGAGTGCGGGAAATGTGTGCGCAATTTGGGTTTTTATTTCATTTCGTTGTCACCCTATCCATAATTCACTCTTAATTGCCAGTGCAGACCCCACCTCCCGCCCCCTCTTGCCCTTAAATGCCCTTATGCTGCATAAGTAATGAATGCAAATTCGACCATCTTACTATATTATTCATAACTTCCCATATACGAATACAGTTTTGTAATTGGCTTCTTGGACTTCTTATTACTTGTTGGCTTTACTTCATTCATTCA